CTGTCCTGCTCCAAGCAGCTCTGAAGCGAGGTGTGCGATGTGTTATCGAAAATCCGGTGTCGTCGCTGTACTGGCAGACGGAGTTCTTTCGCTCTTTGCAGGCGCTGCATTTAGGATCAGTGGTGCATTTCCACATGTGTCAGCACGGAGGTCCTCGCCCCAAGCATGTGCAGCTGTGGACTTCCGACCAAACCTTTGCAAGCTTAGCAGCAGTCTGCCCGGGGAACAAACTGTGTTCTCATGAGCCCTGGCGGCCTGTGGCACCTGATTTGGACCTGCCTTTTGACACCTCAAACGGTGCAGCATACCCTGACCTTCTGTGTGATCGGGTTGCGGGGATCCTTAAGCATGCCTGCCTGGCACAAGGGATAGCGGATCGGCTCTCTTTGAAAGCTGCCGTGGAGCACTCTGCCCCAAGTACTCAAAGACTCGTGTTGGGCTTGCAGCCTGCAGGTGCTAAAGCCCCTCAACTGTTGCCAGAGTTTGGTCACCATCTGCAAGTTGTTGTCACACCATCTTCAAAGCTGCCGCAGGCACCTCAGCATGCTGTGCTTCTCTCTCGGCGTTTGCTTCAGTGGGGGCAATTCCAGGCCGAGAGCAGGAGTCCGTCTGTTGGCATCAGGTGTGACTTGGACACTTCTGTGCTTGTGCCCTCCAGCTTGGTTGAGATTGTCCTCTTCGGCATCCCAGCATCGCCTGAGGTGTTTGTCAGGAAGGCTGTGGAAACGGGGCATCCCGCAGACTTCAAGTCGTCTCTTGAGCCACTGCTCAAGAAAGTGGTCGAAGAAAACATCGTGGGTGACGAGCTCAGGCTTGCGAAAGCTAGGCTTGCCTTTGTGGCTAAGTGGTCCTCTAGGGCAAAGGCCCTGGAGAAACAAGAGGCTGAATTGCATGCGAGTCTGCCGAAGCACATCAAGCATATCTTGAAAGGGAAGCGGCTTCTCCTTTTACAAGAAATGATTGATTTCTATGGGCTGCCTGACACTGACCTGGTCAGGCACATGAAGGAGGGCTTCAGTCTTAGTGGTTGGATGCCCTGCAGCGGGTCCTTTCCTGCTTCAACGAAGAGGCCTGAGTTCTCGGTCGATGCTTTAAAGCTTTTGTCTGCAGGTTTCAATGCAGCGACCTTGTCAAAGGCTAAAGTGCGACAGGAGCGTCCTTTGGAGGAAGCCACTTGGCAGGAAACTCTGGCTGAGGAGGAACAGGGCTGGGTTTGGCGTTGCGAGGACCAAGTGATGGATGGGAAAGTCGTGGCGCGGAGATTTGGGATCTTCCAGAATGGGAAGATTCGGGTGATTGATGACCTGTCTTGCTGTGGGCTGAATGCCACGGTGGGACTTAGAGAAAAGTTCGTTCTCCACTCCATCGACAAGATGGCGGCGATGCTAGCTTATGCTACTTCGTTGGTGAAAGATCCGGACTTCTCTCTATGTGGCAGGACATACGACCTGAAAAGTGCTTATAAGCAATTTCCCATATGCCAAAGGGACTATGATCTATTGCGCTTCATGGTCGCCGAGCCGGGCAAACCCGAACCCACCCTCTTCGGGTTTAGTTCCCTTCCGTTCGGTGGCATAGGATCCGTTTCGGCCTTCCTTAGAATAAGTTTGTGCCTGTGGCAACTAGGCGTAGTAGGCCTCCGTGTGATGTGGAGCGCCTTCTTTGACGACTATTCTGTTGTAAGCAAGGAATCGTTAAAGAAAAACGCTGCTTTCGGAATAGAGTCTTTGTTTCAGTTGCTGGGCCTTACCTTCGCGAAGGAAGGGAAGAAGGCTCCTCCCTTCAGTACCGTCTTCAACATGCTTGGGCTTTCCGTCAACCTAGGCCGTTTCAAGGGAGGGAGTATAGAGATTGGGCATACTGAAAAACGTGTGTCTGAGCTAGATACCTCCTTGGAGACGGTTGTAGAGCAAGGATCTTTGAGCATGAAGGAGGCCGAAAGATTGAGGGGAAGGATGAATTTCTTCGAAGGCCACGCCTTCGGTCGTGGTCCTGCTCAGGCCCTGAGGACCATCGACCATCATGCCAGGACGGGTGCTACTAGCAAGAAGCTTCCACCTGCTGTAGTGTTTGCCTTGACTGTGCTGAGAGAGCGCTTGAAATCAGCCATTCCGCTGCAAATTTCATCTATTGCCCTCTCCACCTGGTACTTGTTCACAGATGGTTCATGTGAGGCTGCTGCAAGAACTGGAGCTGTTGGCGCGGTCCTCTATGACCAGTATGGCAGGGTTGTGTCTGCCTTCAGTGAATGTGTGCCCACTCGAGTTATGCATGACCTCTTGCAAGACTCTGCCAATCCTATCTACGAGCTTGAGCTCTTTCCAGTGCTCATCTCCTTTAGGAAGTGGGCTTCTCGGCTTGCTGGCGCGCAGGTGGTGAGTTTTGTGGACAACGATGCTGCCAAATATGCATTGGTCAGATCGTGCTCTGCGACACAGACAGGTGCTGCAATAGTCGATGCCATTCGCCTCATCGAGCAAAGATTTCAGTTACGTGTGTGGTATGCTCGTGTGCCCACACACAGTAATCCAGCAGATGCACCCAGCAGATTGGATGTGACCGGTCTTGAGAAATTCCTTGTTGGCGACGTCTCCTGGGAGGTGTCATCCACTGCTCTTTGAGTGGGGTTTGCCCTCAGGCAGTGTGGACCAGCCCCAGTGAGATCAAAAAGTCCGGCGAGTGACTCTGTCTGCGTGTGCATATTTTCATACATTATATTTGAGTTGGATATATTTGTGATTGATTGGCAAGCGATTTACGATACAGTGAATAAGAGACTGAAACCCTTGAATTGCTCTTTTGGAGTCCTGCCTAACCATGGTCCTCCTTGGCATTGCAACGTTGTGAAGCAAGTAACTTGACCTTTGTGAATTCCCAATTTGTTCTTGAGGACTTCAGCGACGTTTGTGCTCTTGTCGCACGCCAGTGCAAGCCCATGGGGGTGCAAGCTTGTATTCTTGCAGCGCTTTTGGTTTTTCGTGGACAGGCTACGGCAGGCTGTGGGCTGTTGCCTGTGCATCGGAGAACGACTCTCAGTTACCACAAATTGTCGAGGTACTTCCTTGACACAACAGTCAGACTCTTCTTTCCCAGCATCGCAGTGAAAACGAAGTCAATTCAGCTGGAATGTTGAATGTTTCATTTTATATCATACATAGCACGCTTTTGACCGTCAATATATTTAGATTCATGTTATAATTTTGCTGCTGCCATTTCTGGCTCAATTGGAAGAACAATGGAATTTAAATTAGACTTTAGCAAAAGCTTGGTTTTGCGCGTGAAAGTGTTCGCGGTCCAAAAAGTTTGCACTGAGGCCTTCGGCTTGAGCTCAGAAGCTGTGCTCCAAAACTATTCAGCCCACTCGTCACACTCTGTATAAGTTATGCAGGCGCTGTAAAGTGCACATGCTGCATTGGCAGTGCCAAGGATGGGCAGTGCCCCGTGTTGGATTGTGTCTCCACAATTTGATCCCATTTCACGATAAAACAACTTTTACGTGGGATCGTTGTTTGTTTGAAAACGACGCATCGCACGCAGTGCAAGGGTTCGCCGGAATTTCCAAAAAGTGCCGGCCGAGAATTCCGTGTTTTACGAGGAATCGTGGATGTCGCACGATCCTTCGTAAAACACACGGAGGTCTCGATTGTTTTCAAAAATGGGGCCTGCGAACCTCGCTGCCTGCCCACGATGTGTCGTGACTCACCCGCAGACGCGCCGTGAGATCCGATGGCACCACGGCAGCGTTCACGTAAATATAATTTAAGTAGGACAGTACCAATTTTTACGTAAATTTTTGTAGGACAATATTATATTTGTATCAATTTCAGTAGGAGAATGCTAGCTTGTATAAATTGATACAAACCGACGTATCTCCGCGGAAGAACCCACGAACTGCCTGCCTGCCGGTCTCATGGACATTCTGTCGGACAGTGGGCATCTAGACAGACCCCTTCTCAGCGGGACGGCGGAGCATGTGGTGTGAAGATTGTGCACCACGTTTCACCTGTTGAAGCTTCTTGTGCTTCGCGGCTTTATATGACGTACGAGTTGGTTTGCCCGTGTTTTGGTGGTGTGCAGACTTCCATGAAGCGTCCATACACTAAACAGCAACCAACACCGAAAGAAAAAACAAACACATGTGAAATTCAACACGAAAACTGCGCACCGGGTTGACCTCCAAGGTTTTGGGCTTTTGGGCGGACCATACAACCAACTTGTGCGGCAATGGGTGTGATTCGTGTTAGAAGCTGGAAGACAGGAGCGGTAGTGCATCAGGTTGTTTGGCGGAACTTGAAGTAGCTGTGACTCCCTGGCGGGACTCATAAATTCGATCGGATCAACAGCTTGGGCTTTTCAGCTTCAGCTTCAATTTCGAAATCGAATTCCACATCTAGGTCGTTTGGAAACCAAGTAACAAGTGAATGCGTTGTTGGAAGCTAGCTGTTTCGAGGTCGAAGCACAGTGAGGGTTGAAACGCTGCCAAAAGCGCCATGTTCAAGTTTGTTGATGGCTCGTCTCGCGTTTTTATTGGGCAGCTATGATCAAGCCATCTTTTGCTGAATCTGCAAGGTCACGCAACAGATTTTAAAAGAACCGCAAGCTTCACAGTCACATAGTTCCTTTTGGTGTAGCTTCTGTGGCATCATCCGCGGCCACTGAACGTTTCAAGCTGCTTACCAGTCACTAGTCTTGGGCAAATTTTGAAAGCCTTGCTCTCCTCGCCAGTTCCCATTTGTAGGCCGGGGATTTGTAAATAGGTACGGCGTGAATCAGCAAGCTTTGCAGCAGTCCCCGTCAGATGCTTGACCGCCTTTCACCGTATTCCTGAAATGGCTTCAAGATAGGCGGTCCCTGTGATTCAAAAAATCGGCTGTGGAGGTGGCTTCGAATCGCAGTGTTGGGTGTGAGCAAAGAGGATCCCAGGCACTGCATCGTTTGATCAAAGCTGCACTGTCGTGGTTATTGTGTTTGACCCAGCAGGTCTAGTTCGGACCAGGAGGATGCAGCCTCTGGCATACTTTGCCGTGAGGAGGTGGCTGCACATGCTCGGGCCGCAAGTTGCGAGGAAATAGAGACTAATGATTGGAGTGACTAGAGCTTACACTATCCTGAGATCGAAGGGTGTTTTGCAAGCTGGATGTGTGACGTTTGCGACTGCCAGTTTGTTGGGATGGCTGCAATGGGTGGAACGGGCCGAGCATGCCTTCATCAGCAATGCGCTTGTCTTGGTGGCAGCCTGAGATGCTATGTCTGTTTGGATGTTCTCGCAGGCACTTGCCTTCTGGTTTGACGGCAGGTTGCTGCAGGAGCTGCGCACTGCTGGGCCGTGACAGCCTCAGCGAGTTTGCCACCGCCACGACATGCTCGGCACTTGCCCCGTTTCAAGCGGAGCTGTCGAGGTAGTCTATGCGCTGTTCATTGCCATTCACACTCGGGCGATGAGATACGAGGGTGAAGATCTTATCTCTGCAATGTTGTTTCCGGTGCTACTGCCTGCTTGCCCATGAATGTCGCCTAGCTGAGGTTATCATGAAGGCTACACTGAGCATCTACCTGTATGGGTGAATTGGACTGAAAATCTAGCAGCACAGATCTCAGTCTTCCTGGCGTGGTTGCTTGCCATTTCCGCTTGCCATCATTTTCGATTGTGCAGGTTGCATCGATGGGGATTTGGTGGGCAGCCGGTTTCTCCACAGCAGCCATCCGCATCATTGATGATGATGCTCGAGGCAATTGTTCTTTGTCAGAGGCGTGGTAGGGGTATGGTGTTCTTGCTTGTTTGGAAGGTCTGCCAATGGATGGTGGAGACGTCCAGGTCAACAAGTTCATCCAGATTCTTCGGTCTGAAAGGCTGTCTAGAGTGACTGTCACTCAAACGCTGCTGCCGCCGAGCGCGGTTTCGTCTGCAACCGAGTGTGCCCAGCAGCCCCCAGGCTACACGATGGTTTGGGATTGGCCCACACCCTCAGCTGCATTGGATTGTTCATGAGGCCGGTTCCTCGTGAGGGAGCGGACGATCGAGTTTGTTGATGGAACGACATGCAGTGAAAGCGTTCGCATGGGAGCATGGAAGCGAACCATTAGAGGGTGGGGAAAGTCAGGCTCAGAGAATGTGAACCTATGAACCAGCGGATGAACTGAACAGGAGAAATGCTCATGACGTTTCGTCTAGCACGAGTGTGAAGCTGCAGCAGATATGATCCGGTATCAGCCGCCGTAGTATATTCCCAGCTGACCTTATTGGCTCTTGAAGGAAGTTTTTCAGTTCATGCCAGTCGCATGACCGGATATGGATAGTGCACTTGGGCTAACCTGTATGCCAGAGGTTCCTGGTGTTCTTTCCTTACAACTGTGAGTTTTTGGTGCGTCTCCTTGCAATTTCCTTCTGTACAGGACAGAAAGCTGCGCAGGAACTAACTTGGCAATGAAACCGCCCCCAGCGCTTTGCCGTCCTCCAACGTGCAGGGGCCAGGAACCGGGTGGCCGCCCGTTTGCTGTATGTCTGGGGAAGAACCAGCATACTTTCCTTGCGGCACCAAACAGGGGAGTTGGTACGTAATAGAGAACAGTAAGGAATAAGAGATCTGCTTCGAGCGGCTGGCGGCTAGGGCCAGGGCCAGGGGTGGACAAAGGGCACCGAAGGCACCGAAGGCACTGTAGGATGTTGAGCTACGAGACAGCAGCCGCCGGCGAAGTAGAAGGCCTCTGTGGCATGAGGAAGCCTGGTTCATATCGAGTGTATTCAGAACCTTTCGTTCTGATTGCGTGCGCCAGCATCGTCCTGCTCTGCATTGCCATGGGCTTGATGAAGGCACCGCGTGTTGTCTCATCCCTTACAAGCACCTTCCAAGCAACATGGTTGGAGTGTGGAGGGCTCTGTCACGGCTTGCGAGCTGTGCCTTTGCTTTGTTGCACCGGGCTCAGCCACAGACACGAACAAGAGAATCGCACCAAATCTGCTGACCCTTTACCATTATCCTGAATTGAGTAGCCTTGAGCTTCGCTCTGCTGTGACATGTCCCGCGGCACCAAGAATCAGGCGATTGGCTTTGCCATTCCTCATGCAGTGGTCTCCTGCCGCCGCGATGCACCCAGCCAGTGTCCGACACAATGAGATTGTGCTTATTTGTGCTTCATGGGCGCCGGAAGGCCTAGATTTGAGCAACCCGAAGAAGACAGAGGTTTGCTGCTGTGCGCTTTCTTCCAGCACTGCCGTTTGGGGTACTTTGGGCGTGCCAGGATGCTGCACCTTTGCCTTCCGAGGCCCCACAAGCATCGCACGAAGAGCGCGCGTGCGCACGCGCCGCGTGCCAGTTCTAGTCTAGCTTGTGTTTCCTCAGGCTGCTGAGGCAGCAGCGCAGGAGGCGAGGCCGCCCCTCGGAAGCGGCCGAAGTCGAAGTTGCGTTTCGCACAACAGGCCGCCTCCTTGGGCCCCCAGCTCTGCGTTATCCTGGCTCTGGCCGACTCTCCTGGACATGCGTGCGACGGCTTGTAGCCATGCCAGGGGTGTTACAGAACTACAGACATGCATGGGACATTGCTGGAATGTATCTTCAAGTTGGGTTGCACCTCGAGCTGTCGAGGTACTTATGGCAGAATTTTGTTTACTTCGTAGCTGCCATTGCCTTTGTGGCTGCAGTCGCAGCCTGTGGACGTTCCCCTCCGAAGGCACTCTGGGTTGCAAAATCCTGTAGCAGTCCGGTCTTGCGGTGCTGGAATCGTGAGCTCTTTAGCCGGTCATGTGCCGTGCTGCAGATCTCGATGCTTGTTAGCTCCGCAGGTGGGCAATGCTGCCCTGCCACCACAAACAGGAGAATTTGCGACGTGCCTCGTGCTGCGGCCTTGTGGGCTCCCACTTGTGCTGGCTTCGGTCATCTTCGTGGATCGAGGCTGGACTTCGTAGCCTCGGTGGCCTTGGTGCACCCGCTTTGCCTTGCTGGATTTGCTTTTCTTCCACAACTTTTTGCGCAGCCTGTGACTTCGAAGCTGTTGACAGAAATCGGCTCAATAGGGATCAGATCCGCTTCTGGTACAGACTAGACATCGTCTTGCAGCGGCTGTTTCTGCACAGCTGGCGAAGTGGCAAGCTGAGCTGAAGCTTGACGGTCATAGAGTTGATTGTTCGTAGTTCTGCAGCATTGCCTTCCCCCCCTAGGCTTTCAGACGATGGCGGACTACCATGAGCCTCTCTTATCCTTGTCGGTTGCCAAGTATTTGTTTTCAGAACACCTGCTACGCCGTGGCTCGTGGACAGCGATCAGGCAGCCAAAGTCGGAGGTGCCACAGAAGGGAAGGCAGATGCTTACCAGGGTGTCTTGTTTGTGTCTGCCCCATTTCCGACCGAGTCCCTGTGAGGCCGGAGGCTCGAACCGTACTTCAGGCAGTCACCTCCTACCTGGATGCCATGAGCTCAGTGGCAGACGAGTGCAGAGTCTCCGATTTCGGTTTCGTGGTTAGCTTCTTCGGTGTTCTTTCGGGGTACTTTTTCTTACGAGCTCATAGGCGGGGGATCTAGACGCGCAAGTCGCCCCAACACCGTACCTGTGAAGACCAGATGGAGTTGCAGAGAGTTTTGCATGGGGTTTTCCATTTTAGGCCATTCTCCTGAGGCTGCTTTCACCGTGACAGAGAGGGGCAGCACGGTTGGCTGCTGGCTGAGGGTTTCAAAGCGCGCAACGGCAATCTTGCTGCAGCCTTCCTTGCCCAGGCCAGGAAATGCGGGCTGGTCTCGTGACCTGGGTCGATATCTCAGACCCGTTTCAAGAAGCTTCCCGGATTTCTGGCTGGGCTCGAAGGTCACTATGAGCTATATAGTCGTCGTGAACCCCATCATTCTTAGCGCGAGATTTGCAGATGGAAGCCTCCCCGGCTTGTGTTGACAAGCTGGGCTGTGCTGGACCGGCTAAGCCATGTCTCCGGTATACCTCGCTCTGCATGACAAGACTGCAAGCCCCTAGTGAAGCTGCTGCTGCCACGTGTATGCTAGAAAAGGCGTCTCGACCACTCGGCGTCGTCATTGTTTGAAGCAGTGTCTCCGCTCCGAGGGTTCGCTTCGATTGCTTCAAATCGAGCCGACATGGCGATGAATCTGATGTCGTTGGCTGTGTTAAACGACTCAAGGAACCGCTTGACACGACTATGCTTGCATGCTTCGTGTAGCAGGTTCGCCGATTCCTTTTCATGCAGCGTGCAGAGCAACCTGCTTGCAGGGACCCCAGCACAGGGCAGTACAGGTTTCCTTCTTGGTCCAAGCATCCTTGGAAGCCAGTGGCGTTTTGAGACAATCATTTTGGCCAGTAGTCCGGGCCCAGGTCGGCAGCTTTTGCATGCGCCTTCGTAGGACGGGTCCTGCCGAGAGAAGTTTAAGTCCTGCCTGTCAACAGCTGCATGTTCTGAGTACAGGAAGGTGTCAGATTTTAGCAGGCCGAATGCTGAATGGAAAGGACTTGCTGCCAATCTTCCTTTTGGATTGGCCGCCGGCATGGGTCTGCTAACCTGGCACGTGTTGTTGCAAGCCCGTTGGTCCGGGCAGCACAAGCTTCTAGTACAAGTGTGATTCGACCCAGGTCCCGATTCGTGCACTGCGGTTCAATCATGTTGTTTTGCAGCGTACCAAGCGTAGGAGTGTACAGTCATCATGTTGGTGAATACCGCGACTGTTGTTCAAGCCCTCTGTGTGTGTAGAAAAGGCCACAACTTTAGCGCACCTGGCTTAACGATGTACCCAGTGGATTCTAGAGATCATAGGAGATTCAATCACTTGCGATTCGAACATGCGCGCTGCTGAAGCACCAGCGATTCTATCATGCCAGCGGTTTCGAGCATGCACGATTCACGCACGCCGAGTCCATTCAAGCACTTCGTCTGTTAGGGAAGGGTTTGGGGTTGTGAGTTGCAGGTTTTCGGGTTTAGAGTGTGCCAAAGCTTAGGGATTTGGTAGGCTTTCGGGCGGCAGGGCTTGAGGGTTTTAGGGTTTAGGGTTTAATTAGGGCTTAGTATATGTAATGTGATTGGGCTAAAGGCTGTTCTTGTGGCCTCACGATTTCGGGGTGAGGATTGATTGGATAATCGGTTCCCTCAACAAGGTCCCGGCGATCAAAGCACGAGCCGCCAAAATTGCTGGCAGGAATCGGGTCGGTGTGCGAATGCGCGCGGTCAGTCTGCAAATGTCTGCAGATCCCTGGTGCCCGAGTCGCTTGTAGCACGCTTTAAGTTCAAGCTTCTAACATGCAGGCATAACGCAGCTGCAATTATGAATCATAAACACGAAAGCAGACTATGATCTGGAGTTGCAGCACAGCGACTTCAGCTAGTGTGTATCTTATTGGGAGTGTCGAGTCGGCCAGGAACTCTTATGTGCGCTACGGTCTCATCGAGAGACTTGGCCTCGGTGCCGAAGGGGCCCTGGCCGCGTGTTTCGTGCAGGCGCAAGAGGAGGCACTGGCATTCAAGCTTGCGATTCGGGGGCCTCTTTGGGGAGGCCGTGGCGTTTGCAGTGCTGGCTGCCAGTGGAGCAGTCGACAGAGCTGGACTCTCAGGGTGCTGGCAGGCCAGTCCTGAACAGACCTTCCACTACCAGCCCAACTAAGGTTCAAGGAGCCTTACCGTCAGCCCTGAAGTCCTCGATCACGGTGGCCATCGGCGTGTTTCAGGAGCGCAGCCTCGCAGAAGATGCCGTCTGTTCTTGCTCCGGCTGGCATGTGCAGGCCTTTGTGGGCCTTCAGTTGATGGGCCTGGTGGTCAAGAACGATACCACCTTGGTGGCGACTTGGCTTTGATGGAGCAGCGGTCAAGGACATTTTGCATCATGGCGTCGGCTTAGGCGCTGGGAGACCTGTCCCAGCCAAATTTGTGGCTCCACCGACATGTTCGGATGGGTGTTTACAGAAAGGAGAGTTTGCATCGTCTCTTGCTGCAAGGCTGGCTTTCACTGCCACCTTACTGGTTGCGGGACTTTTGATCAGAAAAGTCACGGGGGCTTTGCTGCTAGGCCAGGCACAGCGATCTTCTCCCGATCGTTTGATCGGCTTTCACTGCGAAGACTCTTGCAGGCATTTGCTTTACGGCAGTGGCCTCGCATCTCCTTGGCTTGCCCAACCCGAACCAGGTGCGAACAGACTGCTGTTGTGTGCAACTCTGCGTGTGTGTATGCAAAGAATAGCGCCCAATCTCTAGCTCGCGGACGGTCACACACGCTACTTGTGCTGTGTAAAGGAATTATCGCACTGTGCATGCATAGTTTTCCCAAGCTTCTTGACTCACTGCCCGCAGCCTTCCGCTGGACTTTCTGCTGGTCCCTAGCTCAGCCTGCACCAGGCATTTAGACAAGATCTTGCGACAGACGACGCGAAGTGCAGCTCCAAGACTGCTCTTTTCAGGCGCTGACCTGCCGCAGATCTTTGACTTGGATTTCACTCCTATGTTCGAGAAGCCCCAGGCTCCTTCGCGATCAGTTTCTCTGCACGCAAAGCTGCTGGCAACTATGCAATAGGCTGCAGTGGTTTTGCTCCGAAGTCCTGAGCATTCCTGAGCCTTCCAAACGGCATCCCAGGAAAGCAGCTTTTGTAAACACTTAGGGGCTTTCTGTGGCTGCAGGAGTTTGGCACAGCCGTGCTCTGTCTCCTTTTCATCGTGGTGTTCGACACCGCTGGAGTCTGTGTCTCAGTTGATCCCCACAGGTCTGCAAAATTGGATTGTGCAAGCTGGCTGTTTCGCTGTTTTTTCTCGAAGTCCAGGTGCAGCATGGCATCGGGCAGCAGGCGCTTCGCTGTGACCTGTTGCTCTTGCTGAACCTTGTTCTTCGAGCAGTCATTGTTTATGTCCTTTATGCCCTGCCGTGTTGTGCTGCAAGCACGTAGACGTAGCTGGGACAGCCATCCGAGTTGCTCAAAGATGACCTTTGTCACACAGTTTCCCGTCTCTGGTATTGCTGTCATAGCTTCGGCAGAATCTCGTTCCCGAGGTCAATCTCTTAAAGGGGTAGAGCCACATGCAGGTTCTTCATATTTGCCAGGCTGGCCTTCTGGACAGCAAGGGCTTCCTGCCCGGCGCGAAGTGCCTCGTCTCGTTTCCACTCTCTGGCCTGCGTCATGCCCCTTTGCCTTGGGGCGGTCGTGTGTGAGCTCACGAAGCGAGGTACGGGTACTTGGGCAGCGCCTTCAGCACCGGCCTGGGTGCTGTGATGGGCACTAGCCCAGCATGCAACTCAGCATTTACAGAGAGAAAACAGCAGACACAGCGAACGAGAGGTTTCTGTTGATGTCCCGAGCAAGGTCATCATCCACAACGAGACCGCTGCTGGAGTCCAGGAAGGCGGTCGCACAGGGCAGAGCGCTCAGTGGAATATCGGAGTGTTTTTCGGGTTTCGAGTCACAGAAGCTACCGCAAGGCACCCCATGCCATTTCCAAAGTATCTTGCAAGGTGTTGTGGTTCTAGTGTTCAAGGACTGTCAACACGGAGCAAAACATCATCCTGTTTCTTCCCATTTCAGAGCTTTGCCGATGTGCTGGCTAGAGGTCTCACAGTTCCGTCTCACTTTTGCCGCCGAGGCTTTGCGCAGTGACGACTGCTGTGCTCTTCATGCTTTCGCCAACCTTGGTCCCTGTTATCGAGCTCATCCCACCAGAGGACTGGCAGAAGATACGGTGTTCAACGCCGCGCAGCTGGAGTCTTTTTTTTCATTTCAGTCGTTTGGTGTCGGCTGAGCAGGCTACGGCGCCTTGCCTCGTCTTGGTCGGTAGCATGATGATGGGCCCTGCCAGGCCCTTGGCGTTAGCTTAGCCGTGCCCGACTAGCGCGAGCACATGAAAGCTGTGCCACCGCTCCGGAGCGAGGTCAGAGACATCGACTTTGGGGACTTGCGACTGGCCCTGCCAGCCTTCTTGACTATCTGCATCACTCCGCTCGCGTGACCCATGCTCATTGAACTCCGCTGAGCGGACGTGGCACAGGGGTGGCCCAGGTACTCCATCTCGGCGGGCATTTTCGTGGGCATCGCATCTTACTATGTTCTCGGGTGCGTCTTGTGGCTTGCTGAGGCGACTGCGACAGTTCTGCTTCCAGCATCCCTGTCTTCCCCCCCCCAAGAACAAGCGGAGTCATTCCTGTGGTCCTGCCTCAGTCACTCCAAAAGGGTCACAACGAGGGCCAAAGCAGTGCATACACGACGCCGAGCCACTACTGTGCCAAAGTTGTTTCTGTTTCGGGAATTTAAGTTGGAGAGAGAATCTGGCAACAGTCCGCCCTCTACTGTGAAGAGTCAAGGCCTTTAGCACAGACAAACAAGGTGCATCCGAAAAGACGCTGCGTTTGCGTTTCAGATACCTCCACGCCTGTTTTTTTTTCTTTGGCTCTCCTTTCTGAGGTCATATCATGGGCCTCTGCATCCTGTTTTAATGACTGGTTAGTGGTCACTGCATAGGCCTTTGCTATGCCTGGTTTGTCACATCCACTCAAGAAGGCTCATTTGACGAGCAGAGATCTGCTCGAAGTCATATGGCCACCTCCTGGGAGGTGGCAGCTCGAGGTGGCAAGGTGCCTTGCTCAAGGCCCGAGTGCGCTGTCACTGTCCGAGAGACCGGACGCCTTGGGCACTGTCAGTTCTGCGGCATCGCCCGTCAACTTGGAGGAAGAGGAGCTGATTCCAGAGGCCAGGGCTCCACCGTCCTTTGAACCACATGAACAGGAACATGGAAGACCGGACCCAGGGTAAGAGTACTGCGGGATACTACGGGCCTCCGAACGGGCTTTGACGTTTCGGTGGCACAAGCTCTGAAAGGTGCCATAGCCACAAAAGGAATCGCCGCGCGGCGTCCCACCGCGAGCGCAGAGCAGAGATGTCCGGCTCTCAGTCCCCGCCGCTTTCGTCGCTTCGGCTTGGCCTTCGAGTTTGAAGCCGCCCTGAAACCCATCCAAAAATTGAGGAATTCGTGAACCGCAACCGCGGGTATGGAGTCCCAGGCTTCTTCCTTGCTGAGATCAGCAAATCGTAGCTTTGCAAGAGCGAAAGAGAAGTTCATCCTTCGGCTGATGTGCCGAGCCATAGTTGAAGCATCAGCTGCAACTTGCAAAGCGCGAGATCAGCTTTTGATGATATGTATCTGAAATGGGCATCAGGTTGTGGTCCTTGCTGCAAGCAGCGTAGCAGCCATGTGTCTGCAACCACGAACAACTGCACGGAAATTTATGACATTGCGGCAACCCGAACCCTCAGCTTGTTAACATGGCCGCCTCTGGGCCATGGATGTGTACATTCTCACTTGTGCCGTTTTGCAGAAGCACGAGCGGGCCTGCCCAGGCCTTTAGCAGCCTGGCAGAACCCCAGCCTCTGCGAAATGAAAAAGGCTCCAAGCATTGAAGCTCAGATGCCATGTACAGTAGGCGAAGCCTACCTCACCTCTTGGATTGTGATAGCGCTTCTCAGGAGGCCTGCTGTCACGCAGGATCTGTCACATGTTTGCAGTTGTGAGGAGTTTGGTAGGTGCCGGTGACCAGCCAGACTGCATGCCACTGTTTTGTGTTCATTCCTCACAACTGCGGCATGAAAAGTAAACTCTAGACCTCGCAGACTTGAGTGCAAGGCTCACTCCTGCGTGGGAGCATGTTGACAGAACATGCAAGCATATGGAAATGAGGACAGTGTGATCGTGAGGAAGATCATCGCGCTATGCCTTCCAAACTCCCTGCTTCAGGTTGTTTGCTTCCCACATCTCAACAATTGGCACTTGTGGGCTGGGCACCAACTTGTGACTCGTCTCCAATGTGGGTACGAGACTATGCACTGCTAGAGGCCATGACTGCCCTCCTTGTTGCCCTCTTTGCGGCTACTTGGTTTGAGGCTGGGCCGTGCAGGCAAATACGACTGAAAGACTCGGAGGGAATCGCCACGTTTTTCATGCTCATGGTGCACTCAATCTCTATCGCATGTTATGTGCTGCAGGGCTGGCGAGATCTGCTCATCGACTTGCTGGATCCCTTGTTTGTCCCGAGCTCAACAGCTGCCTGTCACTTGCTGGGCAAAGTGATGCAGTAGTCACCCAGAGAATGAGCATGAGCTGCTGAATGGTGGATATGCCACTGATCTAGGCAGAGTGTGTTGCACAAACCGCAGAGATTGTGGATTCTGGTTCCTTCTAATGTCGTAACTGGATATGTCAAGCAGAAATGCCAGACCCATGGCCAAGGGGAAGATAGCACCCATCGCGTGATATTACGGTGGAAAACTCCCAGGCTTCATTTTGGCTGCCACGAAATGTGTGCGCTGAGGTGGTGCGCAGTGACACTGACAAGGCGCAAAGAGAAAAGACACAGCCTGCAATTGACCGGGACACAGAGCCCTTCTTTGGAAGTTCCGTACTGTTTTTCGCAGGCTCTGCCGGGGAAGCAGCGAGAGACCCTCAGACGAGTGTCTTGGGCCGCGGGCTTACGGCTTAATTGAATCTCGAGAAGTCACCGGCTCTTGGGTTGTGCTTGCGCCTGGCAGCGCTTGCAAAGCCTGCGAAGGCTGCAGTCTTCTTGTCTGGCTGAGGGCTGTTGCCTGGTCTGCGGTGCCGTATCGATGTGGGACATCATGCTCCACCCTGTGCAGGCAAGCGGCTGTCAGCTCATCCGTGGCCTGTGGCTGTATGGCGAGGGGGCAACAGCGATGCAGCCAAGGAAGGTCTCTTCGAACTTCCGGACTCATTGCATGACTTGAACGATGGGCGCGGTTCTCACGACAAGTCAGGTGACCTTCGACAGGTGCCCGCGTGAGCAGCCAAGGCTCGCAGAACTCTGGGACAAAAACACGATGATGCTGCTGAGATGGAAGCCTGGAGAGGGCCGAGGTGGGGGGGGGGGGGTGGTACGGATATGCAGAGAGCGGGTTCAGCTGGACGGCAGCCTGGCTTGGCAGGTGAGACCGGCTTGCTCTGGGCGGCAGCAGAAGCCATGGAACTCGACGCCCTGACCCTCAAGAAGCAGGCCCTCCACGTCCGCTAAGCCGTGTGATTTCCCGTGCACGGGAAATAATTCCACACACTGGAAGCACTCTGGACGAAGGTCGATACTCCACAGTTGTTTGGCATCCGATGTTTGATGCCTCTAGCCTCTAGCCGACAAACACTGTTGCACGGGCGCCTTGCACAAGACTTGAGCGTGACTGAGAAGATGATGATACTTTTAAATACTATTTGGCGCCTCAGTAGGCAATGACAGTCGGCTATGTGCATCACTGGAAGATCTAGAATCGACTCGTAGATATCGTTCACTGCACCGTTTGCTAGATCTCTGTAAGGCGAGAGACTTGGAATCAAACTTTCTAGAAGCCGACTCTGTCCAGCTCCGATCATCGGTTTAGCTCGCATGCTGCAGGGCTACTCTTATGTCTTGTCCTTTCAAGGGCTCGCACTCGAATTGGGTAGTTGGGCTGTTGGACGTGCACATCATCGTGCCCGTTGATTGGTGTCCTGCGGTGCGCAACACAAGAGTGCACGGCTGAAGATGGGTTGCAACATCTGTTCTGAGCAGAAACGTGCAGGACGTATGTTCGACCGTCTGCAAAAGCAGAGGTCACGGGATTGCCAGCATCTCAACTTTCAAGTTCGTGGCCAGGCTATGTTCGAGGAGCAGAGGCTTCTGCTGTTCAAGTACGACGCTGGCAAGGCGTTCTCGCGAGCTCTGCAAACACCTTGCGAATCTTCGCTTGTACGCAGGACGGAGAGAAAAAACCCGGTGGCACGTCCCTGGTCAAAATTTTGAGCCATGAATTTTTGTGACATTATGTGACCAGTTGGGGACATCCCGTGCCCGCGCTTCAGCCGAGGTCAGTGCATTCCAAATGGAAATCCAGCGTGGCCAGCCCCAAGGTGCGATCTGCGGCTGCCCAGCGTTGCCGAGATGTGCTGGGCTCATCCACTGGCCTCAGGGAGACTTGGAGAAGATTGTCGACGTTGGCTTCCCGGCAGTGTTGAACGTGACTTTGCGGCGGACTGAGCAGTCCGAACGGTACCAGCAGGTGCTACAGCATTATCAGTATAACTTGGACATGTGCTGGACCGAGGTGCCTTCACGCACATGCCCACACAGAGATGGCAAAAGCAAAGGCTCGCCACCCACTGGTCAGGCTGTGAATCAAGGAATTCTCCTGTGCGAGGTCAGACATGATGCAAGCGAAAAGGGTGTTGGAGTCTCATAAAATTGAATTGTTGTCGCGACCATGGGTCTGCACCAGAATCTGTTCAAGGAAGAGCCACCGAAAGACACAACTCATCCAATGCCCGACGACTTCGTGCAGGTGCTGGATCCAGTGTTGGCAAGTTCGGATTATTTCAAAGCTTGCTGCGAGCTCATGCCGTCGCGCTGCAGATCGTGGGTCCAGCTGCAGATGCGCATGAAGCCTACCTGGCTGGCTTGGAACTTGGGAAATCCAGGGTTGTGTCCTTGTTTTGGGCGTCTCAGAGACTGGGATGCTGAAGCCTGTTCAGCTGGTAAAGCTCGCGTCGTTGCACTCAAACCGAGGCTGCAATTGGTGGACAGAGACATTAGATTCTTTCTACGGGCATCCTGTTCTGTTCTCAGCTGCAAGTCTGGTGGATCTTGAGTTGGGAAAGCTTGCAACTGGCAGTCCGATTTGCAGGATGAGAACCTGACGGATGCGGATCCGGAGCATCATGCCAGTGCCGATGATGAGGAGGCTTGCTGGATGCTGGGGGAAAGAAGCAGGGTTAAAATACAAGCAGGGCCCTTGTTCTGTATTTGGCTTGGTGCACAGACCCAGTGACTGCTGCATTGCACGTGGGGTGGCCGGAACCTGTGGCTTGTCCACGGATGGACCCCAAGAGCCGGCTCAAGGGTTCCCGCTTTGCTTCCCTTCGTCTCCTGCGGTGCAGTTGGTCGAGTCGGGTGGGAAACTAGTGTCCCTTCATACTTTCCTTTGGGCCGCAACTCTGGCTCCTTTGGGCTCTCTTCAAAACATCCTTTGGGCCCAGTTGGCATGTGGCTCGGACCTGCCGTCTCCCATAGTGTTTCTGGCTTTCACTGCCTGCGGCCCCGTCATCGGTTGTAGTACTCGAGCTGGGGCCCAGCACCGGTCCTGAAAAACTCGCTCAGAGTCGCCTGTTCTGCCTTCAAAACTGCATCCTCCCTCCCCGGTTGCCGGGCTCCAGAGCTCTTCTCCGGGTCACGATGTGTCCAGACACATCAGACCAGACTTCCTATGCCACTAGCTGCAATTCTAGATGTTGTCCTCTCATGTTGTGGCAGAACGCCTCAAAGAAACACAGAGAAACTCGAAGTGGGGCAGGAAGAGAAGAACACACCTAAGCTCAAGACTACTGACTACTACGAAGTAACATAGTAGAGCGTAGCGGCAGCAAGAAGCACACCGATAAGATGAAGCCAGTGGAGAAGAATCAGACGAAGAAGGAAAGAACAAGGAAGGGAGGACGCTGCAGACGCAGTCCTCCGGGGTGCACGTCGGCGGATGGGGTGGGCAGGAAGTTCACAGGTTAGACCCTCCTAGAGCAAATTCAACATCGAGCAACGGGAGGGAGGGGGACCGAAGTTTGCCAGGGCTGTTTCTTTTGGTGTCGTGTTTGCGCATGTTGCAGTCTGCAGCGCATCTCAGGGCGTCCTACATTCTGAGTCTGAATCCCTGGCAGAGACACAGTGTTGTCGTCGCTTCCGAACTATACTCAGATGGCTTCGTCTCAGCAGATTGCATCGTACCAGTAGTTAAGCACCTGTCCCTTCGCAACATGTCAGAGCGAGTTGTGATCTTGAGGGTTGCGCGTTAGCACGCTGGAAGCTTGAGAGCACGGGTGGTGTCATCGCCCCCTCATCCCAGCAGAAAAATAAATGCCTTGCCAGGGTGCAGATCTTGCATGATGCCTCGAGGCCAGATGGGGTCAACTTACGAGATGCTCCCAGTCTCTTACCTTTGTGCAGTGCTTAAGAGGCATCTTCTCGACCAGTGAGGAGCTATCCTGCTCCCAGTGACGCCTCAAGCTTTCGAGTGTAGCAGGGGTTTAAGCTGACAGCCATAGCTCGTTGCACCGGACTCACCAACCCATGCCATCGATATTGGACGATAAGATGCGGACGCCGGCACAGATGAAACCCAGGCTCACACAAGCAACAGCTCTTGAGCGCGTTGCGCGCATGAGGCCCTGCAGTTAGCAGGCAGCCTATCCACTCTGTGCCTGTGGGCACCTTATTGCTTGGAGAGCTGCAATTCCTGGCCGGGGAAGTTCACTAGATCAGTCTTCGTTGCTTGTTTTTTAACGGCCTGTGAAACAGCTGCTCTGGGCCGGTCGTTGAATTTTCAAGAGCTGTAGCGCCTGAGATAAGGAGTTTACCGCATGCAGGTTCTAGCGATCAGTCGATGAACTTTTCATAAGGACGCCATCGATTCTTGCAGCATCTGCTGGGTCGTTGGAGCGGAGCGGCCGTGATGTGGGCATTGTGTCACTGGCCGACACACTGCGAGCATAATGTATCTCTTTTGTTGCGATATGTTTGGCACATAGCATACCGTCCCCATTAAAATCAGGACCTCAAGCCGAGTAATGACCCTTATCCTGCCTTGATGCTTGAGACACTCGCTGCTAAGTGTATGGTCAGGGCTGCAATCTTGATATTGAACCTCCTTATCTCAGCAAGGCCGACGACGATTGCGCGCAAGTCACGATGTGTGAAGACACAAGAACGGAGCAGATAAAAGGAAGGGCTGCTTCTGATAGGACTCACGAGCAGTGCTGCAGTGAAAGTTTCATCGGCTACCAGTTTCACAGTCTCCTATGCTGTATATCTTTTTACAAGTAGAAACTCATTGTGTTTGCCGTGCTTTCTGTCACAGCTCAGCCTCTGCTGCATGAGGCAAGCAAAGAAGCCATGGAGCAATGGCACTTTCCGGCTAGGATTTGTCGCGGCATCTCCGACAGCCAACCGTGGGTCTAGTTGTCTTACGGGGTTCAGTTCAGGAGTGCAGAGTTCCGACATCAGGCATCCCACTAGCGTTTGCCGCTCAAAAATAGTGTAGGAAGCAGGGAGCAACTGCTTGCTGGAGCCCCAGGTTTATCAATTGCAACATTCCAAGGGAGTTTCTAGCTGCGTGAAGGTCCGACGCAGAGCATGGCTGCCGCAGACGCCTCCCTGGCATGTTTATTCTGGCAGCTAGCCGGCGGTTGTGCCTTCATCGAATACCTGACTGAATGTGTGAGGGTCTTGGTTCAACCTGAACTAGGCGCCGCCTCTCCATGGAGAAGACAGAGAAGAAATCGCCGAGATCGAGGCTTTGACCACGACCTCTGGGGATCGAAGCCGATCTGTCCTTTTTTGTGCCTGCAGGGCGTGACTGCCGACGCGTACCGGAGCGTCGTCGAGCAGCGGACATCAGATAGGCCTGGCAGGATGTACTGGGCATGTTCGCCACACGTAGCATGTGTTTGTAGCATATTGAGGAAGCTCCGTGAGCAAGCGGAAGACCGAAGAGAAGATCATAAGCCCAAGTTCATCCAACCCCACAAGGACGACAGCCTGCTCCTGCTTGAGCCGAACTGTCTGAGAACAGAAAAATGCCTTCAGGAGAAGCGCTTCAAGCTCTACATGAAGTATGAAGGTAGCACATTCATCAGATGCAAATCCAGTGCATTTGCTCCTTCCTGCTCAAGGCAGAAAAGGACCTCCTGCATGGATCAAGTCCAGACTACCGAAGCACGGTGGCTACGAGGTTACTGGTACTGTTTGATATTCCCCAAGCTTGTTTTCGACCATTACTAGGATGGACCGTCTGTTGCCATCAAGAAGATGTTCGTGAACTTCTACAACAGAGTCCGAGATATGCTGTACGGCTCCCGGATTCACATCACCAGCTTGTGTGGCAAGGCCGTAGATTTCAAGGGGTCGTCATTGATGGCGAAAGCCTCGCTACGAGTAGAGTAGATAGAGGCAAACGCCCTGGCTCAAGCCTATTAAGTCCTTCCTCGAAAAGGTGAGGGTGTTGCGCATCCCCCTGTCAGAGCAGCCCGCGGAGCATGTGGGGGCAGAGAAGCCAGGGGGGAAGCCGCAGATATCAGGTCCGACAGGGATCGAATCAGCCGCAGAAATCGGCTCCACGAGTCAGGCCCCCCCTCAACCTTGAGATTCAGCTGAGCCCATAGCCTACCCCGATAAGGAGGTTCGTGCGCAGTGTCATGATCCATTTTCCTACCCCAGATGGCACCAGATTGCGAGAGCTTTTGGTGGAACCAAGCGCTTTGTGCATGCTAAGGTCGATTCATAGTGTTCATCTCAGAAGCGAGACAGGGATCGCGATTCCGGACGAGGTGGGCAGCTCCTGGAAGCTATCGAAGATGGCGGTCTGTTCTCTCGAGGATTCACTTGCCGGATATGTCGGCTATGGCGGTCTGATCTATGTGGTGGACGGGTCCGCTCCTCAGGACAGCAATTCATGAGTCCATGGGTGTGAAGCTCACTGGGCTGCAGGTCACCTCCGGGGAAGCCGCCTGTGAGGCACTTACCAGCGAAGAGGGCCGGCACCTCCAGCAGAGCAGGCAGCTTGCAGCCGATACTTTCGGCTTTCAGGAGAATGTCGTGTACTTCTGGGGGGCCAACTCTTGGAGCGATCCCAAAGGTGCCGCTTCCGAACAACCAATGTGACTTGTGCACCTTTCCGGACATGCAGGTGATACACCCTCACCGGTCCTGACACTCGAGCGCAAGAGAATCTGCCAGGTGCTTTCTTCACGTTTGTAAGCTTCATGCCCTGTGCAGCTGTGCTAGTGCTCGGTCGCAAGATCAGCGTCGGGAAAGAGCACGCCGTCGCGCTCACGGAGGGAGGTCGCATTTTTGCCAGCGCCCCGAATGCTCGAGGAGGCTGAGGTGAAGCGTGCCGCTGTTTCGCCTGTTCCTGAGGCATGGGGAAAGAACGACTTTGGGCAGCTGGGTACGGGTGACGAGGATGGTGAGATCTGGATCAGTGAGAGCCCACACTCCGGGAAGCTTTGCTTCAGGAAAACAGAGCGTTGCCATCGTGTGGCCCCCATGACTGGCTCAGAGCTGGCATCGACCTGCAAAAACCCGCGTCCTTGTGCTGTATCAGGTACACAGAGCTTCCCTATGAGACATACATTTCGCAAGTAGCTGCCGGAGGCAGGGATGAGTTGCTTTTGGACTTCCCTGCATTTCCATCTCCGCGGTATAGTCTGAGAGTTTCCTTCAGAGCTCACACGGTATTGTCTTGTACTTCTCTAAGATTAACCATGAAAACCGTAGTTCTTTGCATGGGACGGTAGAAAGGTCGCAGTCGTAGTCGCTTAACAACAACAAGCCCAAACAGGTAACTACACCATCGGCGTCACCAAGCGTGGTGAAGTGTGGAGCTGGGGCCGATTTCAGGCCAAGCTCTTGTGTCTTTTCTGTGGGGGCACCGCGATACTGGAACTTGCAGGCTTCCAACTTCCCAAGGATGTTCACAGAGACTTGGCTCCCTGCCTCAGTTGGCATGTCGTGTGGAATGCTTCGAAGCTGTGGGCTGAGGTGTAACGGTTACGAAGCCAAGGGTGAGATGGGCCTCAAGGCTCTTTGCATCTGTCCTGACCTCTCGGTCCCACTGCTTTGCCTCGTGTGCACTCCAGGAATCTGTAACTTCGTGTTAGGCCTCTTTGTCCCTCGTTTCTCTTGCAGGGACTGAAGATCGTGCGCGTTTCTGCCGGTGACCAGCACATGGGCGCGCTGACGAAGGAGGGTAAGGCTCCCTCCGTCGGCGCCGTCATAAGATGGCAGCGAGAGTGAAGCGTTCTGGTCAGCTCTACACATGGGGCTACAACGATTTTGGTCAACTCGGCGGGCCGCTGAGAAAAGGATTCTGCGCCAGGGACAGAGTTCGGTAGGTGTCATAATCTGTATCACCACTCGCCGTCCCATCGAGGCGGACTTTCTCTGCGTCACGTTTGGGTTTTTTCCAGCATCATGCAACCTCCCGAACAGAGAGGAGCACGGACTGATCTTTGATGAGTGGCTCTGCAGGTAATTCAACACACACTGTCAAAAAGCACTCGCATGACAGAGATCCCCGAAGCTCTTTCTCATTCCTCCGCGAGGTTGGGGCCTTCATGGAGAAGGCAGAGTGGGCCAGCAGCGGCCGAACCAGGCACGGAAGGATCTGGAGGACCCTGGCACCTGCCTACGGCACAGGTCAAGGGCCTTTTGGACAGTGAAGAGGTCATCGATTTTGCGTGCCTGTGCCTCAGCCGGCTCTTGGAGCGCCGGCTCGAAGCGTCCCCGAGCGGCGGCCTTGACGGAATCAGGTGGTGGCGGTCACACTGTCGCTATCACCAAGAGCTGTCGAATTTTTGGCACGCCGCTTACGACAGCAAACCTTTCCGGAAAGGAAGCTGGACCAACCCGAAGACAGGCTGGGGATCCAACACCAACGGCCAGCGATCAGCTTAGTGCCTGGGCAAGTCAACTTTGAGACGTAATGCTGGAGCTTGAGGCTGGGACATGCCATGCGACAATGCTTCCCCGAACCGGCAGGAAACTCAGACTGTGTTCACTTGAGAAACGAGGCAGGTACTGTAGGCCGGCTGTTCCAAGGTCGAGGTGCCACTTGGCGATCCGGTGTCGAAAGTGCGTGCCGGCTGGCAATGTACAGCCAGCAGCTGAGCTGAGCTACCTCCTAAGGCCTGGCGGCCCTAGCCAATGTTCCAGCAAGGCTTACATCACTGAAAGTGCTCGTCCCATTATTTGTGGCGGCATTCGAGCAGAGGCGGGCAGAGATCTCTCGATGACTTTAGACTACTTTGCGTGTGCTCCGATGACAAACTCCTGAAGGGTCCCAGCGTTGCCGACATGCAGCAGGTGCGGCTGTAGTGTTGCGAGTCGCGTAGTGATCATGTCTGTACCTGGAGCAGCCACCGCGATGTTGCATGGTTGCTAAGTGGGATGACATCATGTGCCATCTGGCTTGCCGTTTGGTTGTGCGACAGGATCAAGCCAAACTAGCCTGAGCTGAGCTCACCTTGCCATGTTCCACCCGAACCACAGTCCTCTGCAGCTCAGAGAGGGCTCCCTGGAATGGTGGCATGGCATTGTGGCAATGCGGAGTGTGCAGTCATTGCATTGCTGAAGAGCTGGAACCTATTGAGACGTATGCCTCAGTCAGCGTGCCAGTCAGCGTGCCTGCCACCTTCCGGAAGGATGATGCGAAAGATGAGCCTTCACGGGACATGCTACACGGCATGCAGGGTAACTGGTACATGAAGGAGGACACATGCTTGCTTGCTGGCATCATCTCTGGGAGCTTTCTCACTGTAACCGCTGGCCGATTCGGGCTTCCTGACGCAAGAGTGTTCCGGTTGCCTGCGACAACCACCGACACTTTATTTCTGGATCACGACGGTCGAGTTCTTGTGGGACATGTTTCGTTTGAGGCGCAGCGCACCATCACCTGGAACAATGGCGAAGTCTGGCTCCAGAAGTAGTTGTGTTGCTGTGTGCCCGAGCCAAAGTGCGGCGGCATGCGTCAGCAAGGGAAGAAAAGATCGTGGCATGCAGGTTTCTTGGATCCGGATCGGGATCTGCCTTTTTCCTGAGGCTGGAGAAGAAGGCGATGGAGTTGCACCTGAGATGAGGGGTGGTGGCGACAAGGGTGGTGGCGCGGACCTTGGCGCTAGTGACTAGTGGATCTTGCCAGAGCACGCACCTCAGATGAGTCCGAGGTCCTCAGCCGGAGGCCTTCTGGCCTGGCTTTTCTGCACTGTCTTCGGCTGTCTTGTGGGCATCTGAAACGTCAGGCTGGTGTCATGGACATGGTCAGCACCACAGGCGTCGAGGTCGCGATCTCTCCAAGCAGCATTGTAAGACAAAACGACATTGACACAAAGCAGCGTCAACGTCAAGCTTGCTGTGTCGATCTTGCCTGGGAGCGACTGTCGTGTGACTAAATCGGAGGTCATGACTGAAGTGGTGACAGAGGCTTCTGTGGGAGAGGCCGGAGCAGATTTATTCGGGTTGATAATGTGTCAGGATTCCTCTTGATTGCAGGCGCATGGACTCCTCGTGTGCTACGTCCTTTACTCGGAATCGTTTTTCCATGAAGAAGAGATTAGGGCAGCCGAACATCGAAGCACTTTGTACGAGGACGGAACCTTGCGTGGCTGGGGGTAGTGTGCTCGGAAGTTTTTGAGACGCGAGACAGCGGCTTGGCACAAGCCTCACAGGTACAACAGGCAGAAGCAGGCCATCGGCGACGAAACCGACGATACCTTCGTGAAGCCACAGGCCGTGGATGACGTCCCATTCGCCGGAGACCGAGTTAGCCTTCGGATGCACGGATACACCAGTGGTCCGCGTGCCGAGGACACATACAAGGGCCTGTCAGTTGCGGTTGGTGGAGCCCAAAGCTACGCTATCCTGCAACAACGCCATCCGTGATGCTGGTCTGCGGATATCACAAGATGTGAAGCTTTCCAGCCTCAGAGCGATTTCAACATGAATTCGCAGAGACACTCCGTCCTGCGTAGAAGGATTGCATTAGACTGATGGTCAAAGAGGGATTGGCTCATCGTTCACTATGCTCGAGGTGCAGGCAGATCCTTTTCAATTGATGCAGCTGGCAGCTGGAGTCATCTGGAGTTCTTTGGGTTTCCATCAGGCATGTATCTGCGATATTCGAGCCGATAGCAGCCCTGGGTTTAGGAAGCTAGGAAGCTGCGCAAGGATCGGAGTCAAAGCATGTAAGACCATGTTCAAGACATGGTTTGGATTGCAAGTGACTTAGCATTGAGGTGTAATGGCATCGAAAAGGGACGAGAAGCTAGTAGCAGGTGTTTCTAACAGTTACAAGCAAACTTCTAACCCAACTGACAGTAGTCGTAAAGGTTGGCCTCATAATGAGATTTGAGGAAAGTTTGAAGGCACTTTGTGCCGTTGTGTAATTCAGCCGCTACTCTGGAGGGCTTGATCAAACTGGTTGGTCGGCTGACGGCGTGCCCTCGGACCTAAAGCCGTGAGCTCATTGAAAGAGATTCAAGACGGAAACAGTGCTGGGGATCAGCGGAAGCAATCCCATGTAACTCAGGGTGAGGAGTTGTTTCACTCAGCTCACGAAAGAGCTTAAGCTAATGTCGATCAGAACTTGCTGGCATGGTGTTGTTGCCTTGGCCTTGGCCAACCTTCCGTGAGCAGCTGCATGCCCACGCATGCGATAATTGTGCAGATCTAGGATAGCAGCTGGGGACATGCTCCGCATGTTCCACAGTTTGCCTCCTCCTTGCGTGGCATGTTGCAGAAACCTCTGCAAGACCGGTGCGAGCATCCGTGATCAAGCCTGCGCAGTGATTCACGTATTCCAGGTGGCCAAGGTCGGAGCGCACACGAAGCATTTCTCAGAAGCCTCGGCGTGGCCTGGCTCAAGGCTACGCTGTTGAGAGATGCGACCCCACAACGGACAACGGATATCGGAGAGTGCTTACAGAGGTTCCACGTTAAGACTTCTTGGGTGTTTGGCCGTTCGGGTGTTTTGCCTCCATGGTCCTTCCGGCTCCGATGCGGCTTGCAGAGGCGGCAGTCACGGCAGTGGCGGTCAGTTGAGATGCGGGACAAATGGGACGAGCTTCAGGCCGCCACTGCTCCCATGGGGCTGTCATGGAAGCATTGAGGCCCCGACTGGCTGCTCATTGCATGGACCCCTCACCTTTGCGCGAAAACTAGTTCTTGTTCCTTTCTTGGCAATGCACATCCTCTGTTTCTCTCTGCTGTTTCGGCGTGGCCGATGTAACAAAGATTGGACAAACCTCACGACAAGAGCATCTTGGAGATGAGAGATCACAAGAATGCGGCGACATCGGAGTAGTCGGGTGAGATGAATGAGGAGTTTTGCAGACAGATTTATCCAGAATCGTTGTGTGCAGTTGTACTGCCTAGGTTACATGGGTTGTTTCGAAGGTCTTCGCTGCGAAATGCAAACAAACACAAGCAACATATCCTTGTTTGCAATGCCCCCACGCCAGTACACTTTCTGTCAAAAGTTCTTACGTGGGCGAACTTGCAGGCGGTACAAGCCATGGTGGTTTTGAATGTGTGTTTAGGGGGCAGCAGAATTCCCCATTGAGCAGCCCAACCTCTATCATCGAAGGTAGGATCCATTACGCGGCGTCGTCCGGTAGAGCTACGTCAAGACAAGAAAAGCAAGTAAGTTCCGGGTAATTCCCGCTAAAGTTGAAACAGCCGAATCATTGTCGATTTGTGCCTCTACGGCTCCGACAGTTAATCCTGCCCAAGTACCCCAACTCCCAATCTTTACAGTCCGAAGTCCGAAGTGTTCAGCTGGAAGTCAGTCGTCTCTTGAAGTGGATTCAGACCAAAACATGTCTGCCTGGTAGGGGTGCCTTTATTGCATCGTTATGTAAATACTCGTCCTGAATGTTTTCGTAGTTTTGTGATCCTACTTTTTGCCTGGAACATGACTAACGTCTGTTGCGCCAGGGGTGACGAGAGTACATGATGTCTCAGCCGTACACAGAAATAGGAGAGGTGGCATGAGAATGGGAGTGGTGGGATAAGAAAATGCAGAGTAGTTTGCATGACCATGGGTCAATGCAAGGCCCGGCGTTTTTTGCGGACAGGATGTGACAAAACCGCAAGTGTTTCATTCTATGAGGAACTCGTCAGCAGTGGTTCCGGCCGCAGACCAAGCTTGCCTGCCTTGAATGCTTGTAGCATTATGTTAGAAACCCATCCAAGGCCGATGCTGTCGCACAAGAAGTGCTCCCGTGTCATTGCATGAACGGTTTGCTTCTTGGAGTGCCTCTTGTTCCAGGTTGAGGGCAAGGATGCTGCGGCTATGGCTGTCACCCATGAGGAGGCGCAGCCGAGGTAGTCCTGCGTCCACGGGCTGCGATGGGGTTTCGATGTGGCTTCAGGAGAGCGAGGCAGGACCATTGAAGGCCGGTTGATGCTCTGAGCCGACAGGGTGTGAGGGGAGTGGAAGTAGTCTTGTGCCCTCGAGGTGTTCGTGTGCTCAGACGAATTCGAGATTGCCTGCGGATGTGCGATTGGCTTCAGTGTTTTTGCTGCTCAACAGCAACTACCGGGTTCAGGCAACGGCCAATATCCTGATGTTGACCAGGCCCTGAGCACGTGCAAGAGAGCTACGTGCGCAAGACGAATACGATTCCACACCCTGCTGTTTTTTGAGATGCAGTGCGGCCTTGATAAGTCATCGCATGCATAACTGTCAAAATGACGAAAAATGCTCGAGACTCTTACGTCTTCATGCCCAAAACGGGAAGACACACATGCCACCGAAGCACTCGGAAAACTGTGGATCACCTAAAATGTGTTGAACCCTCTCACAACCGTAGCAACCCCCTAGCAACGATCGAAGCAAGGCAGTAGCAAGCACAGGAAGCCGGAGCGGAGCATAGCTAGGAGGCTCGAAACAGGGTAGGCGCCCTCGGCACAAACATTCTCATCGAGACTGTATCAAGACTTTACTTTGCACGTCCCAGGTCATTTGTCTGCAGACCGACAGTGTGGACCTCCCCTTCTTAATACAGTTCTCGGAAAGTATGGTCAAGCGCTCAGACAGCTTCTCTTTCAATTCCTCGATGTGATCCACAGTTTGTGCCGCAGTTGAGGTCACTGCCTTCTTTTTACTGGAGTGGTGCCTTCGCGTCCGGGTTTTTGGCCTGAAGTGGTTCAAGGCATCTTCAAGCCGAGCTTCTCCGCACAAAGTTCTCCTATAGCGGAATCAACCGGCTGTTTTCATACATTTTCACCCGTGTGAGCCGCAGTCTATGTCGCCAAGTGACAGGACAGCGAGCATCTCCTGGACACCTTCATTGTGTGGTGCCCCGGGGTCATCGTCGTTTGGGCAAGCCCGGCGATCATTTTACCACTAGCTGTTCTCGTGAATGCCGCTGGGAAGAGCTTTCCTCATTCACCGGGAGCCAGATTATGCAGCCGCTTCAGATCGAGGCAGAAGCGCAGCGACCCCGGCTGTTGCCCCGAATGCACATCTCTTAGTCACGCCGGCCTCAGGAGCGACCTCTTCAAGTTTTTCCGCATTGCCCGGATGCTTCGATTTGTGCAGCTAGTCCGCCGCGCAGACTCTGCCGTGGCAGACCCCAGTGGCTCGGTTTGTTCTGCTGCCGAGGTGAAAGCCTTCAAACACGTTGGTGCCTTTGAGGATCTGTGGAAGCCGGAAAGCTCAGCGAAGCCACAATGTGCAAAGAGGTAAACCCAACCGAATTCAACAAGACTTTGAAGGCTGGTGCGTGGACTCGTCAGCAGTGGAGGCACTCTCGCCTCAGGTGGGGATCGCTTCGAGAGCAGCTGCCACGTGCTACTGGTAGACTGTGGCATACTTTGGCCCTGGCAGCAATGAGCCTTATCGTTTTCAACCTGTATGTGTTTGCCATCTTTTGCTGCGAGCTGTGCGGACCTTAAGGCCACAGAGGTGCCGTTGAGCCTTTGTTTCTTCCGTGTCTCTGAGCAAGAACCAACTCATCAGGATCGGTTTTCAGCAGTTCACTGCGGATGCCTCCGATGGCGCCAAAGAAGCACAGGAGAGATTCAAAGGCCGTTCACGTCGTGGGTTGTGACTTCCCTTGCCCGTTCGCAACTGTGCCTGCTGCTAGCTGCCTGGCATGCCTGTCCCAGTCTGACCCTGCAGGGATAAGTGCGTCAATGCTGACGTTGACGCGCTTTATGCATGGTGACGATTCGCAGGGCATCATGGTGGAAATCCCAGTCGGTCCGTACACATAGCGTGCTCAGGGCACAGTACACTCAGCACACCTCAGGATGCCTTGGTGGAAGAGTTGCCCTGGATTTGGTCAGCCTGACCTGTTGCATGTCTTCGGCAGTAAATGGTGCGCATGCAGACGCACGTAGGCACAAACACCCGGGTGCGTACTCACCGGGCGCATCTAAACGAGAGTTTATGATGCAACCGTGAGTTCGTGCTTGGACAACGATGTGGCCGAAGCGATCTTCCTAAGAACGTGCTTGCAAGCGTTGCTGTCTCTGACCTGGCGATTGGGAGCCAGGATCTTTCTGTGGCTCTTCACCGCAATGTCATCCTTCGTTCTTCTGAACTTGGTGACGGCCGTGATCGTCCAGCAAGAGCCTCGGAGAGTGTTGGAGAGCTGCGGAGAGCTGCCGAGAGCTGTGAACAGCAAGGCAGGCCATGGACATGTCGAAGGGTGATGAAAAGGAGTCTGTGCCCCAGTTCAATCCGTTTAGATTCAGAGTTCAAGAGCCACAGACTAAGGATGGCAATTCTTCGGAAAAGGGAACAGGAACGGGAGATGAAAGAATTGGAGGAGTATGCTCCCGAGCTCGGCTGTCGAAACCTGCAGGTGCGAAAACGGGAGTGTCCGGGAATGGCTTAGGATGTTCCGCGAAATCGATGAAGACGGAAGTGGTATCGTGAGCCTGGCAGAGTTCAAAGAGGCCTTCGTGCACACTTTTGGTGACGGCCCAGTGACTACAGAAGTTTCAGACGGATGCTGCAAGGCCTTCAAAGACCCAGCAATCTGCGACAAGTTTTTGATGCTCGGGTACGCTCAGATCCTTCGGCGAGGGATTTCTGCAGGGAAGCCGTTGCAGGCTGAAGGAGGAGCAGGCCATGGAGCTCTTCTCCCTGCTGGACACTGGCGGTGAGGTGCGGGGTAAGATCCACTTTGTAGTGCGAGCAGACATGTCTTGGCAACCTGCAGGGAGAGCTGGATCTCTCCGAGTTCATGCAAGGCCATCTATCTTTGTGCCCTCCGCGCTTGTTCACGTCCTGCAGGGGTGACCTAGCAGACTGTCAGGCATGTCCCAGCTAAAGGGGGTCGCAAAGAACAAGGACAAAGATGTGAGCAATGTGTCCCAGACTGGGTTTATACCATTGCACAGTCTTTTGCGGCACTTGGGAGGACATGGTCATGCTCACAAAAGGCATCGAGCGCCTGGGTAAAGGCATCATCAGGTGAGCCTTCATTGATTTGATGGCTTTGCCTGGGTCCGTTGATTCCGCAGGATGGGAGAAGGCATGGGCTTGAGCGGTTTGAAAGATGAGCACGAGGTTGGGGAGTCTCAGCTCCGATGTGCCCACGCTCTGACGTCTGGACTTGTTCTTGCGAGAGTTTGCCTGTCTTGCTGTGCTGAAGCTTTTTTGGCTCATCTCGTCTCCAGACATGAATCACTCGGCAGCTTCTGCAAATCAGCTTGCAATGTGAGAGGGCGGCTTGCAAACGGCATTGGATCAGACTTAGGACACCTTAGGACTAGTTGGCTCGGGTGATTGTGTAAGGCAAGGTCTGCTCGAGACTAGTCTCGACAGAAGAATGGCCCAGAGTGATGGCGTCAATGGAAAGATGGAACCTTTGCGATCCTCCTGCCCTTTTCTCGAGCAGGAGGCCAGCGCTCAAAGAGACCCAAACCCACCTGAAAAAAGGGATGTCTCGATGCAAAGGCTCGGCTCCATCTGCCGTACGACATCAGCAACGCGGTGTATTTGGAGGTGCAGTCGAACGAGGAGACCCTCGGATGATCCGGAGTGAATGGTCTTTTCGGGTGCCTGTCAAGGAGCCGCTTTTCAGCTACATGTTGCGCTACGTGAGCAAGTCTGCCTGCGACCCAGGGTCAATTGAAGTGGGCTGTTCTGAACGCAAGTCTGCCAGGTCCAAGATGCGAAAAGCATCCGTGCAGACATGGGCAAGGGGAGAGGACTGGGAGCGCTTTGTCCGCACATTTAGGCTCGAATGAGGGGATGCACTGCAACAATCCATGCATGCTTGTAGAGAGCAGTTGCTCCCGTCCCATTCCATGCAAATGCCCTTTCTTTTTTTTTGGTTTGGAGAGGCCGTTTGCCCACCATCAGTAGGCAGCAAGGGCAGTTTGACGTGGTATTTACAGTGCTTTGTGAGGGTTGAAGTCTCTGTTTGCATGTCTCGGAACGTGAAATTGCAGAACGCAGAAGTGCAGGAAAGCATGGCATTTTCGACACTCTCGCGTTTGCCGAAAGCCGTGCTTCTGTGAGTTCTCCTCGTCAGACTCCCAGGAAACTTGTTTGCTCCCAGAGAAGCTTGGGGGGAACAGAGTCCTCGAAAGCCTGCCTATAGGCAGCGAGTGCCTCTGCCACGTG